TGTCCTGTTCTTATTGCAGAAATCTGATGCGACTGTCGCTACTACTGTTTTAAACGACTTGTCTCTATCATAGTCCCATTCAATCTGCCAAAGAAAACATGAATAATGACGACAATACTTCGTTCAGCAAACAGCCCTCCAGGTGAATAATAAACTAATCTTTCCTTAATTACAATTAAGAGCACTGAGAACTTTTTGCTGGTGTCATTTATGAGAGTTTTGTTCGAGTAACGGCCTGTTTGCTGTTTGAAACTTGAAACTGTCTGTCTTGCTGTCGTAATCTGCATGGTCTTTGTCAACTCCTACAAGAAACTACAACCGAACACAGATAATCATTTCCATTCAAACTTCTCTTGTTAAGAAGTATCAGGGTGCTTTTGAAAGTGTGATATATGCACGCCTTGTGTCTTGTGTTTTCCCTGTGACTTGTTGGCTATGATATCGTTGTCGAACAAAAAAAGTTACTTACCCCACTTGGAATTGAGAACTGAACAGCTTCTTCCTTTTCGGATTCTGATGCGTTACGGGGTTTAGGAAGTGGTAGCTTAGGACTTGGCTGGTTTTTCTTCAAACCTAGGTGGTTACAAAAAATCTGACGATCAATTGGATACATGGGGACAATGGTATTCGGGTACTTTGTGTTCCAATTTAATCTGATCTAGCTTTGAACTGCACATCTCGATTTTTCTTTTTAATGAAACAGCTGTGCGCCTTTTTCGCGTCTTCATTTCTAGTTTCGTACCATTTGTTTAAACGCATCATGTAACTATACATTCCACAGCCAAAACTGGGCAAGTGACGTTCCCCAGTTCTCAATACTTGTGTCCAGGAAGATAGAGAGTTGAATCAAGAAGAGAGAGGCTAGACAATTGTTTATACACAATCCAGTCCTTCCCGAATCCAGTTTTCAGATATGAATTGCGTTTATTTTCTTCTCTCAAAAAATAATAAAGTATATCTCTTTCTAATTAACAGTAATTAGTTACCTTGGCATTTTCCATCAAAGTAATACGTGTCTTGAACACATTCACACCTGTAAGAGCCACGAGTGTTGACGCACCTCTGGTTTTTATCCGGACATTCGTACGTGTCATCATCCAAACACTCGTTGATATCTTGATAATAGCAGCGAGATGCAATTATTAGTAATTAAAGGCAAAAGGCTCAAGTGAACACAATTTATATAATGGTAATTCAGTGCAGCGGAGAACTTAATGAAAGAGGTTACGTGCAATGGACTGTTGAACCCTAAGGAGTGGATAGGAATACTGCTATCCGCTTAATCTATTGCTCTTAAGAGTGACCAAAGATGTATTTCTCACTACAGTATCAAAACGTTTTCGAGCAGAAGGGAAATGGGAAGATAGAAAGATATCAAATGTGGGATATCTTTGATTTACCAATAAATTCAAAGAACAAAAATTACAAGAAATGTACAGGACAGTGTAGAGAATTAGTTTCTGATTAGGAGAGGTATAAGGTTTCAATGCTGCGAAGCTGAGGTGAGGCACCCCGTTAACAAGGAGTGGAGACTTTGCCAATAATTTTTCAATATGGTATGAGTAAATCGCAGAATGCGAACAATTACCTTCACACCCGTAGCCATCTTTTTTCAACTCAAAACCTTTCTTACACGAACAGATATAACTTCCTGGGGTATTTGTACAAGTCTGATCGCATCGATGGAGGTCTTTAGTTGGATCACATTCATTAATGTCTACAGAGATAAAGGAGAAAACAAAATACTAACTTGGCAATAAAACAAAATTCATTTCGGTTAGGAATGATTATAACATTTTGTATTGAAAAAAATGGGCCACAGCGCCTATTTTTGTGGTCGGACTTGGATAGCAACAGATGAAACAAAACAAATACATTTGTGGAATATCATCAAATGGAAACTATCCTTCAAGTAACCACCCAACGTGAATATGAAACCAAGCACAAAGCTTACGTCGCTTTTCCTGGTTGATCTTACCAACGCGTCGGCAGTGTGTCGGTGGTGTGTCGTTAGAGTGTCGGTGGTATGTCGGTAGTGTTTCAGTGGCGTGTCGGTAGTGTGTCAGTAGCGTGTCGGTGGTGTGTCGATAGTGTCTCGGTGATGTGTCGATAGTGTGTCGTTAGTGTGTCGGTAGTGTCGGTGGTGTGTCGATAATGTGTCGATACTGTTCTGCATAGTGTACATATTTTACATATTTTGACGTAAAAGTTGGGACTTTGTAAAAGGGTTAATAAATACCTGTTAAAAGATACGCGTATTACGTAACACGCATATTTTTTTAAAAGTATAAATAGATACGTGCCTCGCTTCAAAAAGTCAGAAGAGAAGGCAACCAGAATTGTAAGTAGTTTTAGCGCTTTTCTTGTAACTTTGGTAATTCCTGTAGTTAGTTGTATCTGTAAAATATTGTAACGTATATATTTTCTTTCCTTTGTAGTTTGACAAACGTAAAACACAAAACTTAAGTGTTATTAAACTCAGTGTTTGTTTAAAAATCTGCTTCGTCGACGTCTCTTCCGAAAGGATAAACATATATCCAATTCAGATACTGTGTCGATAGTGTGTTGGTGGTTTGCCGGTAGTGTATCGGTGGTGTGTCGGTAGCTAGTGGGTGGACCGACACGTTGGTGGGATGGGATCCTTTACTTTCACCCATTTTATATAATCGGCACCAACTTGATTTCTACACATACACTGGACATGTGGGGTCAACGTCTATGCTACCACACGGAAAATATAAATGAAATTTCGAGGAAAACAGCTCTGAACGACATGCGGGGTCGCCCTGCGGGGGCCCAACAGCCAAAAAATTAATTATGCTGATTTAAAAGTTTTCAAAACTCGTGGGAAAAGACACTGAAATATTGCTTAAAGAATATTAAGTGATAAATGGCTCGATTGATGAAAAATTCGATTGACACAAAATTCGGCGAACATTATTGATCCGCAAGTACCTCGTAAGCGTCCCTTTATTTCAGTAATTATGAAGTCATTTCATCATTTTAGGTCCATAGATGGTCGATGAATAAAAAAAATCAGAATATTATACATACCTTCACAAGTCTTTCCGTCACTTTGCAGCTCGAAATTAGCTCTACAAGTACAAGCTGCTTGCTTGTTGCTATCCTCGTAGCAAACATGATTGCAACCAGGGTCAGAGTCAGAAGTACATGGGTTTTTGGCTGTGAGGAAAAGTCATCGGAATTAATACCGGTAAAGAGTCAGAAATGCTAATGCTGTTTTTTTTGTTTGGCGGAAGGAAATTGTGAAGAATGATAGTCGCCAGTTTTGAATTTCTATTCGTAAAAAGGTCCCTCTCTAGTTTGGATTCCAATATTTTTCTTCAATAGAAAAAGACGGTGCGTAATTACGACGTTGCCATATAGAACCATAGCTAAGGAACTAAGCTGCCAACTTTTCCGTTTGATAACTCAGACACAACAAGTACCTTTCAAAGTTTTCTGATGAGCATATGTAGATAGTGAATACATTACTGCCTAAGCGTAAAAACTGTTCTCGAAAAGATGTCCTCGCCTATTGCTATTCCGGCATGAACAATGAGTAGCTATAGTTTGAGATTCTTAGAAATGAACCACTTACCTACACACTTCTTCCAATCAGTTGGGTCAGTTTTAAAATACTCTCTACATGAGCAGTTATAACTTCCCACGGCGTTGTTACAATTCTGCATACAGTCACTAGTCGGAAAGCATTCGTCGATATCTACAAGAAATAAATGGTACTCATTATCAGTTGTTATCACCGCAAAACACTGTATGTTTTGCAGGAAAACTGTTAATACTAGAGGGCCACACTCAATCAAGATAAATTGCGGAATTGGTGCCCATTCTCTACATTTTCTTCATCACAGAAAAGGAAAGCTTACCGTGCGTGTAATATCATTCGACTGATGTGTTTATAGCCGGTTTGCTATTTTTATGTCGTTTTCTGTAGGGATGGAAAGGCGCCATATTGTATAGTCTACTATATCAATGTCAAAAGCGTGAAATGAGCGAAAGATAGCTTTAAAATTGAGCAAGAAAACGAGCAGCCAGTTCGTAGAGGCTCTGTCACACATTATTTCGGAGAAAAGTCAAACAGAAATCTCCTCTCGGCACTTGGGTGACCGTCAGATGGGNCATGTGATAATGGAAACTGGCAACCGGGAGAACTCGCTCGGCCGGTATCGAGACGCAAAAATCTTGGCCAACAAATCCTTTGACGCGATAACATGAACCGAGCCAGCTTAGATGAACTAGGTAACCTCTACGAAATAAGACATGCATTTTGTAGTCTAAGATTGTGACATTGTTGACAGTTTCCCTGCCCATTTTATAGAAGAGTCAGTGCAATGAATGCGTTGCTTTAGCGCTCCTTCGACTCAAAATCTTCTCCAATGTTGAAATCGGCTTGATGATGAGTGCTACATTAAATTGATTTTCTTACCTTCACAGTTGCGCCTGTCATCTTTAAGCTTGAATCCATCGTTACAATCACAAAAGAAAGAACCAGGGGTATTGACGCATTTATGCTCACATTCCTTTGGCGAGTTTTTTTTGCATTCGTCAATATCTAATGAAAATAGTATAAAAGAGGCCGGGGTAATTTAATAATTGCCTTTTTCAGTACAATCATCGATCAAAATAGTGTTCAAATTAGGCTCTAAAGTTCTCCCTCACTCAAATCGACCATTGGCATCGTAGGTGATACGAGGAAATAAAAATACATTACAGAGAGTAACACTTAAAAGAAAAATGAGGAAGCAATAGAACCGGTGACTAAGTAAAACTACAAAAGTAGTTCAAAATCATATGCTTAAATTAGCACTAAGTATGCATAAGACTAATGTACATGAGATAAAAAAAAAAAATGACGCAGAATATTTCTTTTTGCAACCTAAGAGTATTGACAGTGCAAATAAAATTTGTAGAAGTTCAGGTCGACCCACAAGTGAAAATGAAGATCGGCTTCTTTTGATTGATATTTCTTTGGTTTTGATCGAAGGAAGGATTGTACTAAGACCCACTGTTGTGTGTTATCTGACCTGCCTATCCTTTACTTCCATTCGATAAACCTCAAGAACTTCCTGCCAATTCATTCACGTGCCAACTCACCTACACACTGCGCTCCATTTCCTGTGTACCCTGATGGACATGGTCCACATTCATATCCACTGGAATTAGCTGGTGGAGGAAGATCAATGCACTTAACTCCCGCGTAACACGGCTCACCATTCCATTCGCAGGCATTAATCTCGCTGTCACAGAACCTTCCTGTGTACCCTCCCTGGCACACACAGCCCAGGTATACAAACTTGCTGTCAGTCTTGACTGCGTCGCCTTCTTGTGGCTCCACACATTGACCGTCATGTTGGCACGCGCACATTCTGATGGTTGGGCTCCAAATTGCGCTGGCATTTTGTTCGTCAGTGGCGACGAAAGTTAGACGGAACTACAAAGGAAAAAACTGTTTTGTGAATGTTTTTAAGCTTCCTTGCTCAGCAACGACCATTATCAAAGT